TCCCCAAACATCGCTTATCCTTTTTATCATACAAAAAAAAAAATAAAAAAAGTAAAAAAAAAAAATAAAAAAAAAAAATACAAATCACATGACAGAGAAAGCAGATTTCTGTTAATCTGGTTTAAAGGGCCATTTTAGTCTAGGACTAGGCTTAATCTCTGTCTGGGAAACCGCCCCATAAACTGTAAAATGAAAATTATAAATGCTGACTAGCAAACAACTGGAATAAGTATAGGTTAATGTACTAAAATTAATAAAAAATAAATGTAAATAATGTAAATAAAAATTAATGAAAGCCAAGTAGAAATATAAAAAAAATACAAAAAAAATGACAAAAGCACATAAAAAAAAAATTACAAAAACTTAAAATAAAAACATTAAAAATATACGCTAATTAAAAATATACTATGTGTATGTAGGGCTGCATGATAAATCGCATGCGATATTTAACGAGCATCTTATCAGTAAAGTCGTTTCTGTAATCAGCGGTAAATCTCCATCACCTGCGGGCTTTGACCCGCTGATTACAGAAACGGCTTTACTGATAAGATGCGCGTTAAATATCGCATGCGATTTATCGTGCAGCCCTAATAGTATGTAAATAATGCTAAAATAACGGTCTCAGCCTGACAGTACTTTTCTTGAGGCCTCAATGGAAAGATGACGTACAAAAAAAATTATAATAATTATATATATATATATATGAGCACCAAACAAGCAGTGGCAAAACATTATATTCTACAGATACAAGCTGATACAGACACAGATACCAATTCAAGCTGACAATTTGTAAAAATCTAAGAAATCTCCAGATCACTGCAGGTGAAAACACTTGAGAAAGACACCTCTCGACACTAAATCAGTATTTGATATATCTTAAATCTACAGTCCAACGATCTTTGATCATTTGTGGGTGTGTCATGTCTTCTGACAGTCATTCTTGTTCAGCTACATGAAGCTCAGGTGTGTCAACCCAGATACCGTTTCACAACACATGAAACCGTCTGTTTCATTTTACACAAAAGTGTTCAAATTCTGAGTACTGAGTATTGGCATAACCAGTGTTGGGGGTAACTCATCAGATTACTTTTTTCAAGTAACTAGTAAAGTAACGCATTACTTTTTTAATTTACAAGAAAATATCTGAGTTACTTTTTCAAAAAAGTAATGCCAGTTACTTTGTTTTCCCATTTATTGACTGACAGCTCTCCTGTCCCCATATTGGGAGAAATCGGGAGTACAGTGGCGTTGTGTGCGCTGTGTGAACATGATGTTACTGTAGTTCTAGACTAAATGTGAATGTGCATTAATTCATCCCACTCACAAAAAACTGATTTAGTATTCATCAAAATGAATTAAAACAGTGAAATGCAAACTCAGAATATGACGCAAACCTGCAAGAATTAAATATGTTAAATAACACAAATGTATCTAATCCCATTTTATTAACCAGTATCTTTGCTGCTGACCTTTGATGATCCAGTTCAACCATACTAATAAGCAAAAATGACTTTAGATAAACTAACAATTGTGCTTTGTTTTTTTATTGCTGAAGAGTGTTTCTTCTCCTGCGTTCTACTGTACAGAAAATAATGTAAATAAAAATTAATGAAAGCCAAGTAGAAATATAAAAAAAATACAAAAAAAATGACAAAAGCACATAAAAAAAAAATTACAAAAACTTAAAATAAAAACATTAAAAATATACGCTAATTAAAAATATACTATGTGTATGTAGGGCTGCATGATAAATCGCATGCGATATTTAACGAGCATCTTATCAGTAAAGTCGTTTCTGTAATCAGCGGTAAATCTCCATCACCTGCGGGCTTTGACCCGCTGATTACAGAAACGGCTTTACTGATAAGATGCGCGTTAAATATCGCATGCGATTTATCGTGCAGCCCTAATAGTATGTAAATAATGCTAAAATAACGGTCTCAGCCTGACAGTACTTTTCTTGAGGCCTCAATGGAAAGATGACGTACAAAAAAAATTATAATAATTATATATATATATATATATGAGCACCAAACAAGCAGTGGCAAAACATTATATTCTACAGATACAAGCTGATACAGACACAGATACCAATTCAAGCTGACAATTTGTAAAAATCTAAGAAATCTCCAGATCACTGCAGGTGAAAACACTTGAGAAAGACACCTCTCGACACTAAATCAGTATTTGATATATCTTAAATCTACAGTCCAACGATCTTTGATCATTTGTGGGTGTGTCATGTCTTCTGACAGTCATTCTTGTTCAGCTACATGAAGCTCAGGTGTGTCAACCCAGATACCGTTTCACAACACATGAAACCGTCTGTTCTGATTCCTCACACTGACACCATTTTACACAAAAGTATGCATTACTTTTAAAATGAGTATTGGCATAACCAGTGTTGGGGGTAACTCATCAGATTACTTTTTTCAAGTAACTAGTAAAGTAACGCATTACTTTTTTAATTTACAAGAAAATATCTGAGTTACTTTTTCAAAAAAGTAATGCCAGTTACTTTGTTTTCCCATTTATTGACTGACAGCTCTCCTGTCCCCATATTGGGAGAAATCGGGAGTACAGTGGCGTTGTGTGCGCTGTGTGAACATGATGTTACTGTAGTTCTAGACTAAATGTGAATGT